GATAAATCCAAGCTGTTCTGTATGGTATGATGGTGCACTGGATGCAGAGATAGCTTGGGATAGCTCAAATATAGGGCATAGTATGGATATTTTAGTGTGGTGCTCTCGGTAGCCTTGTCCTGTCACCAAGCAGGATATAATAGTCCAAGCAGATGGCTTTGAGGTACAAGTGAGAGGAAATGTGTCTGCATGGTGCTGCATCCCCACCTTCCCCTTGGGTCCCACTCAGCTCCCTGCCAAGGAAGCTTTCTGTTTGAAACCTGAGGAGCAGCTACGATCCACAAAATTTAGCAGCTCTCTGAAGTTGCAAAGTACAAGAGAATCTGCTTTGTCAAACTTTCACAGAGAAGCTAAGCATTTTGCCCAAGATCAGAGCGCCAGACAGGGGCAGCTCTAGGGAGGGAGCTCAGGAAGGCTGCAGAGTTTGTTTCCAGAGTTTTGCTCCAGTGCTTTCTTAAGGCTATGGGCCCCAAACTGCAGAGTGTCCACATTGCCATGCCTTCATTGACCATGTGGACACCTAAGCCAGCTTTGAGCTTACTGGGGGATCACATTCCTTCCCAGGGGTGAAAGATCATCCCTGAAGCAGGAGTACTGGAAAGAACTAGCAGCTCCGAGCACTGGAGAAAATTAAATGAGCTAGGATTTAAAATTATAGAAAGCACTACTTGCATTTTAGCCTACAGAAACACAAAGTAAAGAAGGTGAAGATGAAACTTAAAAAGTGTCTTGCCAGCATTGTACAACGACAAATGGGAATGAAGGTGAAGAATAAGAATACCAAAGCTTACACCATGTTGCATTGTCCTCCAGATAGTCCTCTGGGAAGCAAGAGGGAAACAGATTCAGGGAATAGAAAAACAAAACAAAACAAAACAAAACAGGTTATACCAAACAGGCAACTACAGAGATCATGAGTCTTTATAAGCAGTTGATTGTATATGAGAAATCTTAGATTATGCTCTGCAGAAACAACTGAGATTATACTATAAGATTATGTAATTTTTGTTAATATTTGTCTTACTTCATTGACCAGTCTAAGGCTGTCATTTTTGGTACCTTTGTAGCAGAGGGATAGAGAATACTATCTCTGAGTTGCTTAAACATATGCTTAGGATGAGATAAATCATGCTTTAGAAATACTTGGTCTCAATTTAGTTTTCTAAACTGACAATTAGACAAGAAAATAAAATTATTTCTCTCCATTAACAATAAAACTACAGATATTCATATATGAGATAGTCATCTAGACTACATGTATAGATAGCTAGTTATGGGTATCTATACTATAGATTTCTGTATTTAATCAGAAGAGTAATACTTTTGGCTTCTGCGAGAGAAATGTGGTAGAGAAATAGACGGAATCCAGTTACCTAAATAGAAGCACAAACTGTAACTTCAGCAGTTCTAAGGTATTCCTGCTTGCCCTCAGCCATCAGGAAACTTCAGTTTCCTGTAAGTATACCAGTAACATCTGGACATCTTGAGTAGCATTTAGGTGGCTATGTTAATGGAACAGAAATGCCATATACTCTTGTCTAGGGTATCTTACCTGGCTTTCAGCCATCAACCTCAGGGAGCATGGGCATGCTGAAAGGTTGTCCTGCCAGCTTGATAAGATATCTCAGAAACCCTGGGTTATCTCAAGTAGTATTTCATGCCTAGATGTGAATAACTTATCTAAGCCTTCCAATTCCCAGTCTGTGAGAGTGGTCTACAATAAGGGGGTGAATCACCATCCAAAGGTGTGTGTCTCTCCCTTGGTCTTAGCAGGAGGCTGACTTTTAGGCCCTGTGCTGCAAAGACTTCATTTAGCTGCTGGAACACGGGTGTCTTGTCCTGTCTGAGATGCCGTGTCATAATCCACTTGGCTCTCAGATGCGGCTCCAGAAAAATATTGGTTTCTTCCAATCCTATACCATGTCTGTTGATTCCACATTTTAGATACTCAGGGGATCTCAAACAGGACTTCACGCCCATGCATAGACAACTGTCTCAAGCTCTAGATGACTTCCTAAATATAGCTAATGAATTTTACACCACTTAAACCATTGCTGTTCTGGGAGATCTTTTCTTTTCTTTTCTTTTCTTTTCTTTTCTTTTCTTTTCTTTTCTTTTCTTTTCTTTTCTTTTCTTTTCTTTTCTTTTCTTTTCTTTTCTTTTCTTTTCTTTTCTTTTCTTTTCTTTTCTTTTCTTTTCTTTTCTTTTCTTTTCTTTTCTTTTCTTTTCTTTTCTTTTCTTTTCTTTTCTTTTCTTTTCTTTTCTTTTCTTTTCTTTTCTTTTCTTTTCTTTTCTTTTCTTTTCTTTTCCTTTCCTTTCCTTTCCTTTCCTTTCCTTTCCTTTCCTTTCCTTTCCTTTCCTTTCCTTTCCTTTCCTTTCCTCTTCCTTTCCTCTTCCTTTCCTCTTCTTTTTTCTTTTCCAATTCACATGAGTATTTTGAATTTTTTCTTGTTTATTAAGCCTTACTGGTGCCAGCTATGACAATAACGCAGGAAAGCACCTCTCTGTTGGAATGCAGTGGTGGAGTTAAACATTAAGGCTCAGCTAAGGATGAAGGAGCCCATTTTCAGAAGGATTCAGCACTGGGTGATTTTAGTGTCAGTTTCTTATAAGAGCTGCTTTGTGCAACATACCTGATAAAATATGATCAGTTGCATTGAACTGATAAATGGGCAGTTGAGCAGGACTGAAAAATTTGGCCAATGTTTGTATAAGATTGAGATACAGAGGAAGTACTCCCTATAACTGTTTTGAAGACATGCTGTCAAAAAAAGACGAAAGCAGAATTGTTTGTCACTTTACCTTTAAAGATTTACATAGGTTCATGTTTGGACTTTGCTATGGCAGTTTCAAGTTGAGTGGTTTGACAGTGTTTTATGAATAAAATCACCAAACCAGACTTCTAAAGGCATTAGTGTAATACTGGATAGTCAGTTGCCTCACAAGCAAAAAATCCTGTAACCTCAAAGCAGGTGGTAATAATTCCTTATGCATATATTTTTTATCTATAAAATCAAAAGGGTCTCTGATAGCTTGAGGCCACTATCTAATTGCTAATATTGTGTGCTTATATTTAGTAAGCAGTAGAAAATGATCAGTGCAGAGACTAGAAAACTGCTTTGACTGGCATTTAAGTCATATTAGCAATGCCAGGATTAGGAGGATCGAAGTGAAGCTGGTCCTCCATGCTCTGTCTATAGTTAATGAAGAGAGATATGTGATTGCAGGAATGATTCAGCACATTAAGTGCAGCGTAGATGGGATGAATTGTGCTACCGAGAGCAGCATTTATATCTTTCTGGGTAAGATTACCCAGGCTGGCGCGAGATGCAGGCAGTGACCTTTCCCAAGCACTGCTCAGGGATTACAGCTCTGAAATAATGCCTGCTGCTCTAAGCCACACAGGCAGCCTCTCCTCGCTCCAGCTGAGGTCAGTGGCCATCTCCAACTGTTGGTCTCAAACCAGAAGGAGATAACACGTGCATCCCTGCCATTTGGAAATGAATTGGAAACCAGCACTCATTGCTAACAAGCAATGAACAGTTTCTAATGTAACTATCAGCTGAAAGAAAAATAAATAGGTATTTGGCTGCAACACTTTTTAAAGTAGCAGCAGCAAAGCTAAGCTCATTTTTTTTTCTGAAACAATGGGTGAACTGATGTAGTTAAATCAAATAGGGACAAATTCCCTTTTGAGTGCCTGAAAGTTAATATGAGTTATAAAGGAATACTTGCACTGCAAATTTTTATTAATTACAGCCTTTAAAGGCCAATAACGTATCACACATTTCTCTCTAGTTAGGATAATCATTATTTTGTATATTTGCAATTTTAAAAAGATATTAATGTGTTGGGAAGTATTCTCCCTATGTGAATATGGAATGCCTCCTAAATCTCTCTTTTTCTTTGCAAAAATGCCTTTACTGCTGTCACTATATAGTATTAATCCAAGTTATGGTTGCTACCGACTTTTCTATCATGCTCTTCTTCCTACTTCCTCTGATTACAATCTTCAAGCTCATCCAGAGCGTGACCAAAACCTACTGGCTTCAGCATGTCTTCACTTCACCTGGGACAGTTCTAGGACACAGGAGCTGGTTCTCTGCAGCATGGAAAGGTGCATGTGCACAGCTAGCAAGCATGAGGGAAGGCATCAGCTGCCCGAGACCTCAGCTCCCTGACTCCTCCTGGACGGGTGCTCCTCTTGCTACAGCCCTGAGCTTGACCGTCTGATCCCTGGGATGAGCTGGGTGTCTGCTTGGGCAGCAGGAGCGAGGGTGCCCAGGCATGCAGCAATGCGCTCAGCAAGCTGCAGTTACGTGATAGGGTTTCTGTTGATCCAGGTGCTTTACAGCTCCTGAAATTTTCCCATTGGCTTTACCTCAAGATAATTGCTGAGACAATATTAACAACTATAATAATCAGCCCACTAGAAATCTATAGATGTATAAATAGCAAGAACAGTGAAGCCTGAGATGTCAATCCAATAATGTGTTGTAGAGAAAACAATCTTGTGTTAAAGTCATGCTTTTGAAATGATTGAATAAATAAAGCAAGATTAATGATCACTGGAAGCTCTGGCTGATAGAAGTATTTTTTTTTTGCAATTGGTGCAAACAAAGTCATTAATTTTAGAGTTGATTTAAAGAGTGGAATAAATTAATGTGCCTTTATGAGTGTTTATGTTAAGGAACTGCCTGTTAAAAAATAATATTTTTAAAGTATATGATGTGATAGCTTCTCAAAGAACATTCATATTGCAAAGTATTTGTCTTGGCTTATCTGGTTTTTGGCCTGCAGGAAGGAGCTTAGCCTTCACATTGCTCCCCTAAAATGCAATTCTGTACTCTTTCCAATGGGGTAAGAGTTAATTAACAGGAAAACTATGCAGAGTGATTATGAAATTATTAAAAAAGCCTTTATTAGGAAATTACCATTTTTTCTATCATATTGCCAAACCATTTCTGTTAATTCAAAAAGTGGCACATATTTTGCCTTACCAGCCTATCCAAACTCGTGCCAGCAGCAGTTGTAGGTCGCTCCTCCGGATTATAAGGTCTGAAACGGGTATTGAAGTTGTCAGGGACAGAACGAGAAGATCTCAGTGCAGGTGCTGGTTTAGGCTGGCCACATCCTTGGAAAACCTAAGAAAAACATTGCAGGTTGTATGGCAATCACAGAATAAAAGAAGCTCATATTTACAGAGGTATTCTCTATTTCTCATATTTGAAACTTTAGCTTTGATTGACAGTTTCTTAATAGTGAATTGAGCACACTCTGTGCATTAAAACTCAGATGAATAATTAAGCATTATTAATTACTCAGTGTAAGGGTAACACTATACAGGGACCATAAAAATACTTAAATCATTTCAGAATGGTGATTGTTCTAAGTTAACACCTTAGAGCATTTTAATTACTAACTGCTCAGGAGGAGAGATGAACAAAAGGGAGCCCTTTGTGGCAGGAGTCAGTTGATAATTGTTGCAGATTTTATTAGAAGTGGTATTTATCCAAAATCATTGCTCGTTCATAATCCCAATCCCTAGCTATCCCCACCAGCTAATCTTATTTGTAGTCTCTGCAAAAAGGTCAATGATAAATAGTTTTATAAGTGGATTACCTTCTTATTCCCTAGCAGGTCTTTCTCTAGATGAGGGCTAAGGCATAGTAGGCAATAGTAAGAGTTATTTGCTGCTTGTTTCTTAAGTACAAAAATAATGTTCAGGCTTATGAAATTTTTTTATATACTCCTCTTTGGAAAAAGTTTCAGTAGTATATACATTGTGAATACTAAATGACTCTGAGGACACATTAGCAAGCATAAATGTCAGAGAAGCTCTTTTAGAAGTTGCTGGGTTGAAGGGAGGTAGGATATTTGCACAATTATATTTTTAAGTGTTTTGATGAGGTAGTGTCCTGCTGTTTACTTTCATAGCAACTTTTTCAGTTCTGGATTTTTTTTTTTTTTTGGTGAGCATTATATTTTACCTGTTTCAATATTTTAATTCCTCTGAAAAGGATTTCCTGTAAGATATCTTCTACTGAACTCTCAAAATAGACACAGGCTATTTGCTCAAATTAATTTTGCGGTGCTGCAAATGCTGTGCCTTGTGGGTAGGATGGGAGTTTTCTCTTTTTGGGTGGCCAAAAAGTGCCAACTACATTGCGAGTCGGTGTTCCCAAGGGTCATGTTTCACTTTTAGATAATATTCTGCCTTGAGTGGATGTCTTTTGAAGTAGGTAGGGATATCATGACTTTTGTTGCTTTCAGCATTCATTACAATTAACTCTTGGCTAGGTTTCCTGTTATTAATTTAGAGGTCCCAAATGATTCAGAATTTGCTGAAAGAAACTGACCCATGCTAAATTTGTGTTCAATCATCACATCGGTTTTGGCTCAAAGTCCAGCAAGTCAGCTGTTGCATGGCCATGGGAATTTTTAATTTATGTGTGAAACATTGCTTGCTCTGTTTGAAGACTATCTGTAAGATTTTCTGAAGAGTTTCTAATCTCTTCAATCATGGGGATAATAAGACAACAAAATAATTTAATCTAGGAATTAATTAATTAATTAATTAATAATTAATCTAGGAAAAGTTATTCTGTTTTGAATAGTTCTATTTTTTTCAGAAATTTAGGCTAAAATTAGTATTCAGAGTTTACATACATGATTATGAATAATGTACATTTTTAAGGGCCAAATATATGTGGTGGAACATTAATTATGCTTACGATATTTACCGATTTATTTTGATTGGAGGTAAATCACGAGCAGAAAACATAACAGTTTATTTAGATATCTATGAAATCTCCTTCAGTTATTTAAGTATTCACGTATCTACTTACAAACACAAGTGACGGTCATTCAAAATATGGGCCCTGACTCTCGTGGTAAAGGGAAATGAGGATGCTGAAATCCTCCCTTTAAATTTCACAGACTGTGCGACAGGCTACTTTTTATGATCCTGTGGATAAACTTTGACTCTGAATAATTTACATTTTACTTTTCTTGTGGCTTAGTGAAAAAAAAAAGAACACAGATTATTTGGCATTTAGATACAATAAATAGTTATATAAATACTTGTTACTTGTAGTGTAAGAATATTGTATGAATAAAATTACATACAATCAGACAATAATAGAAGTGGAAGCTGAATGGCCATTTTTACATCGGGGAGAAGAAATCATTTATTTTCTAAGCAAGCTAGCAGTAATGTACTAAGCATATGATAGTCAGTAACTATATTTTTGGTGCAAAAGAGACAATTTCTAATTTGCATCCAGGTATTAACTGTCAGAGTACACAATATAAAGCTGATAACCTGGAATTAGCAAGTGCTTCCTAAGAAAAAGCACATGAAATATTTTATTCAAATAAATATTCAGAGATACTTAAAAATCAGGAAAATATCTAGGTTTCTTATTATACATGCTGTGAATTGGCAACATAAATATACTCTTAAAAAAAAAAAAGCACTTTATTTGAAATGTGCACAATTCACCTCACCCCATTTTAGAGAGGATATTCAGTTTGAAATTAAGATACTTGAAGTTAGGTGTAGACATGTAGATTTATATTTAAGCTCAATATCTAAGCTCCTGTTTTAGGTATCGGAGACCCAAACTCTGGCTGCCCACACATCAGCAGCTATATTCATTTGTGGCATCCTGGGGTATCTGAGATATCTCCTACGACTGCCTTAACAGAGGACCCTTGGTCTGAAAGACCAATTCCCTGCTAACTGGCAGTTAACTCTCTGATGCAATATCCTTGAGCATTTCAAATGACACTGGACTTCTGTGTTGTTTATGTGAAACAAGCCATGCGATCAAGTCAACTCAGCCAATGCAGAGAGCTGGATAATGGTGAAATTACTAGTAGGAGCTAATTTTATTGTGAAAAAAAGGAGTAATTTTCTCAGGAGAACTCAGTGGCTTGAATCCCAACAGAAAGAATTTATCCTCTTTGATGTCTTGAGCCATGCTGTTATTTAGACATGTACTTGTGTACAGTATTTCCTACTGAGTATCTCTATAAGACTCTGCTCCATTGACTCTCTCATCTTCAGCTAGAATACTATTGATTTTTTTTTTTCCTGAAGAACACCATTACATTTTTTCCTGCACAGGACTCTGTGGAGAACACAGATAAATTAAGAGGTTTGTTGATATGAAATTCTGGGGCTATTTTAAGAAGAAACTTACACATAGTTTTATGAAGATTTCCTCCTTATAAATAATGCATAGGTAGTCTGCTATGTCATGGAACTCGTTCTTTTTTTTTTTTTTTAAGCTAGTAATTGCCAAGAGGAGTAATTGCCAAAAAAGAAACACATATCTACATGTTAAACTGGATGTCCATCACCCTGGATGAAAGAAGATTCAAGTTCAGCTAGTGGGAGACTCAAGTCTGGGGACAGTCTTTATGAAGGAACAGAAATCTTAGCATGATAGCCAAATGACAGAGCAGTCAAACATGTTGTTTTAGACCAGCCTATTTAAAATGAAGAAAATAGTCCAATGTGTTGGGGCAGCAATGAAGGAAAAATGTGCTGATGCAATTAGAATATGAATTTTATCCATTTTGAAGAAAAAATGGATAGATGTTACAGAATCTTTGCTGCTCTTTGGGGAGTTTTCCTTCACTTCCTGTAAAAAAGCAGTCTCTGCAGATGTCATTTACTAATCATTTCTATTGTTAAAATGTAAGGTAATGATACTGTCAGCTTTATGGGAAGATTTGAAGATCCAGATCCCAGTTTCTTCGGGCCAGGATAAAGCTATTAAAAATGATATTAAATGGATATGTTTTGACGCTCTGACTGCGATTCCCTGAATTAACTCTGCAGGAAGGAGAATATGGTGTATATCTGCTATGACTAAATCTTGAGAACAAACAATATACAGAATATAATGTGGCTACCTGAGAAATAATCAAGCTGCTGCACAGCGTGTTATTACCTGAAGCATTACTATGGCTATAATGTTCAAATATCAAAGATCGTCACTGACAAATGACAAAGAGTATTATTTCAGTAATGTGGATGTTAACATGTCTCAGACACTATCAGGGGAAACCTGAGGTAGGTCTATGGCAACCTGATTGCTACCAGAGGCAGCCCTCAGGCAACTCCACTGAAGTTTGAGGTGGACTTGTATCATAAAGCCTACTCTTAGAAAACATAGAAGTGTTGCTTGGCATCTCAAACAGACCAGCCTGGCTGTTTCCGCACTTTGTGTGGCCTTGGCTTGCAGAAGACACTCTGTCAGAATGGCTGCAGATGTTAACAGATGTTAGCACGTCACCTATTAGGAACTAATTTTGATGATCTTCAGCCTGTTCTTTCTTTTTTTATTTTTGTTTTTTTATTTTTTGGTATGTCCTGCTAGACCACTGCTCCTTGCTGGAAATCATCTGCGGATGTTGCAACTGTGAGGAATGTGACTCCTCTTGAGGCAAAATAAGGACCTCACATAGTTGCCATTCAGGGACATGACAGCCTTACAAGATGAGCAGTTTTTGCAGTTTAGAGGTTTATGGTCAGACATTTTAAGCAGATTGGTGCTGTATACAGATTGAAGAAAAATACCAAAAAAAAAAAAAAAACCCAACCAACCAACCAACCAAAGATTCCAGCTTCCAGATGAATTAGAGGTTCTTAGCTTTGCTAAAAGAATCAACAAACAATAAAAGCCAATGACTGATTGCTGATGGAACAGAGATGCTCCATTTTATGGAATGATTGGAACTGGGGTATGGCTGAGCCTGTGTGTCCTTGCTTGGAAGTACGAAGATAGAAGAGGTACATGTGACACCTCTATAACTCTCTGTCTCAATGATATTAATGTGCACCCATCAAGAGTGGAAGTTAGAGGGTTTGCCTCTATTAAAGAAATGAAAGATAAGGTTGAACTTGAGTAATAAGCCCTGACTGTCTACACTGATTAATTGCTAACTCATTGGCTTTTCCTTGGACTGCCCCAACTAGCTTGTTCCAGAATGAAACTCCTCCTTT